TTCTTGGCAGCAATTAACATGTCGTCCACATATAACATCCAGAAAATATATGAGTTATTCTCAAGAACTCTGTAGTATACGCAACAATCATACTCATAACGGTTGTAGCCAATCCGAGTCATATGAGAGTCGAACTTCTTGTATCATTGCCGTGGAGACTGCTTAAGTCCGTATAAAGACTTCTTCAGTTTACACACAAGATTCTCTGTTCCTGGTTCCAAAAACCCTTCTGGCTGCTCCATGAAAATCTGTTCCTCCAAATCACCATGAAGGAAAGCAGTCTTCACATCTAGCTGCTCTAACTCCAAATCAAAATTAGCCACCATTGCCAAAACAATCCTGATGGAAGTGTGTCTGACGACTGGAGAGAAAATTTCATCATAATCTACTCCCTTCCTCTGTGAGTATCCCTTTGCTACTAATCGAGCCTTGTATCTTTCTTCTTCCTTTTCTGACATTGCTTCTTTCTTTCTATACACCCACTTACACCCTATCTGTTTCTTCCCCTCTGGAAGCTCCACCAAGTCCCAAGTATCATTTTTATGCAGTGACTCAATTTTCTCCGTCATAACCTCTATCCATTTACCTTTCTCCTGACTACTAATGGCATCCTGAAAAGTTATAGGATTGCTATTGCTGGTAATGAGTGCATAAGAAACCGAATCATCAAATCCATACTTTGCTGGTGGTTTGGTAGTGCGACGTGGTCTATTTAGGGCAACACTATAATACTGCTCCACCTCTGACCAAGAACTATCTGCTCCCTGAGCATTAATTTCTGTGTTAACATTGTCTAGCTCTACTTGCACCACTTGACTTTTACCTCTGCCCTCGTCTGAATTGAGCTTCTCTTTATCTGTAGAAACTTTAAGCATGAATGCTTCATCAAATACTGCATCCCTACTTATCACCATCTTCCTTGCCTTTGGATCCCAAAACTTGTATCCCTTTACACCTTTAACGTAGCCCAGAAAAATGCATTTTCTTGATTTCGGATCAAGTTTAGATCGCTGATCACTAAATACATGCACATACGCTAGACAACCAAATACTCTCAATTCAGAATAATCAATTTCATTACCTGTCCAAACTTCCTCTGCAACTTTCCCATCTAGTGCTGCTCGTGGTGATCTGTTTATGACATAACATGCCATGTTCACTGCTTCTGCCCAAAAACTCTTCGAGAGCCTTGCGTTCAGCCTCAAGCATCTTGCCCGTTCTGCAATTGTTCTGTTTATCCTTTTCGCAACACCATTCTGTTGTGGTGTCTTGCGAACTGTATAGTGCCGCTGAATACCATGCTCCTCACAAAATCTCAGAAACTGTAAATCTGTATACTCTGTACCGTTATCTGTCCTCAGATACTTAATTTTTCTGCCCACCTGGTTCTCTACTTCTGCTTTCCATAATTTGAACTTGGCAAAGGCATCAGACTTGTGCTCCATGAAATATATCCAAACTTTTCTATAGAAGTCATCAATGAAAGTAATAAAGTACTGAGATCCACCTTTGGACAACTCCCTCACTAGTCCCCAAACATCTGAGTGCACATAATCAAGAATTCCCTCTGTCTTGTGCTTTCCCATCTTGAACTGTACTCTGGACTGTTTTCCAAGTACACAGAACTTGCAAAATTTCAACTTGCATGATTTTACCCCCTTCAACAAATTTCTCTTGTGAAGCTCAACCATGCCACGTTCTCCTATATGCCGCAGTCGCATTTGCCATAGAAGAGTGTCATCTGACTCTGATTCTGCTGTAGCAACTCCACCTACAACTGTATCCCCGAGTAGTTTGTAGATATTCCCTACTAATTTCTGACCCTTCATCACAATCATAGCCCCTTTCTTCACTGTTAGAGCCTCACACTCTGACTTATAAGAGTAACCGTTTGTGTCTAAAGTGCCTAAAGAAATTAGATTCTTTTTCAACTCAGGTACATGCCTAACATTTTCCAAGGTCCTTATCACACCATGACAATCTCTCTTAAAGTGGCCCATCTGATGGCATTTGTAGCACTTCACGTTTTTCTTATTTTGATTCCTAGATTTTGATCTTGTGTTCCCTCTATAAGAAACATCCATGTCCTTCCTTCTCCCACGATCCTGGTAGCCCTTTACGATCAACCCTTTACCCTATGAAGTTTCACCAGTACGTAGTTTTCGCTGGTTGTAGGCTAAGAGGGCTGATGTGACTTCCTCCAATTCGAGAGTCTCTTTACCCCACGTCAACGTGGTCACCAGATGGTCGTACGAAGGAGGCAGTGAGCACAACAAAATCATTGCCTTGTCTTCATCATCAAACTTGATTTCAGGCCTCAATAGATCGCTGATGATCTGATTGAACACATTGGTGTGTTGAATTAGATTCGTACCCTCCAACATCTTCAGCCCATACAGCCGCCGCTTTAGATGCAGTTTGTTCGTGAGAGACTTTGACATATAACGACTCTCCAATTTCTCCCAAACCTCCGCCGGAGACTCAACGTCCATGACATGATACATGATTTCGTCCGCCAAACAAAGCCGAATTGTACCAACTGCTCACGCCTCGAGCTCTTCCCAATCGGCATCTGACGTACCCTCTGGTTTCTTCCCAGATAGTGCCTTCATCATCCCTTGCTGCGCCAACAAATCCTTCACCCTTCGCTGCCATAATCCGAAGCTCCCAAATCCATCAAACTTCATCACATCAAATTTTGCAATCGAAGAACTCGCCATCTGAACCTAGCTCTGATACCAGTTGTTGGATTTTATGCGCAATATTAAAGAGATGAAAAAACGAAAATCAACACAAGAATTTTACGTGGTTCCGCGATGTGCCTACGTCCACGAGAGCGAAGTGGAGATTTCTTTATTCAGTTATGAAAAATAGGGTTACAACATATTATTTATACTAATCCTAATCTGAGCCCATATAAAACTTTAAGGCCAGTACAGAAAAATACCCCTATACTGTACTGCGGGGGCGTTGTCCCCGCACCCCCAACCCATTCAGCGTCCCTAACAACACAAACAGTGAATTAAACCCGCGCAAGACTGATGCTGTCGCTCCGCTCCGCACCGGCATCGGCCCATTTGATCCAGGACCTGTGTTTCACTCTATATGAGCCACATGCACAACAGTCAAGGATTGGAAAAATCTTGCCAGCACCTGTGAAAATGTCTACATGAGTGTCATGTTTTCTCAGTGCATTTACTTTATTATTGTAGTGTATATTTCCTTTTGGTTGGGGTAGGGAAAGGGAATTGAGTGTGGACAAGGATAAATACAGCAATATAAATGGAAGGAGGGCGTAATAATTCATATTTACACCTTTTGGATGCCTAACACATTTCCCTGTGTTAGTTTTGTAAGAACATTCTATTAGATATGCTTTCAACAGAGGTTTTCTTATCTCGTTTTTCAATTAATTAAATTAAATATACCAGCAGATTAGTTGATGAAGGACACAATGAACAAAAACAAGCAAGAAAACGAGGAAAAGAGAGAGAAATGGAAGGAAGAGGGAGAAAATGTGAATTTATTTTATTATCAAATTATGCTTACAAATAAAATTCTAAGTTCGTTCATAGGAAAAAAAGGTTAAACTCAAATCAATTTCTAATAAACTAAAATCTTATTGAAATATTAAACTAATCTAATCAAAATAAAAATAATTTAATCAATTTCTACTTTAGAATTATATCTAAATCCTAACAGATAAACTACTGAAATCTAGATAAACTTTCTCAAGCTTCATCTTCTAATCTTTTGTCTTGAGTGGACTTTTAGTTGTTTCTCATCATTTCTCTTCAGCTCTTCGGCTAAGAGAACTCAACTTCGCGAGATGGATTGAAACTGCATCCTTTAAGAAAGCCAATCTTTTGTCCTGACAACGTATCGATAGCAAGCTTCTCGCTAGACTCAAAAAAGCCAAACAATCTCCAAGTTATCGTCATCAAGTTGGCATGACAATCGTAGAAGAGCACACACGTGACAGGGGGCTGCTACAAATGAACTCTCCTATAAGTTGCTATTGCTCATTTGATATTATAGGTTTTCAAGTTGTTGTTTAAGGATGTGGATGATGGTTGAGGTGGTGGCTAGGTATCATTTGAATGAATGTTGGCATGAGTTTTTTGTTATAAATGTTGATGGCTATCAAAATAAATTCTTGAACTTGGCTGTTTCACGAAATTTATTTGACCAAAGGAAAACAACTTGCTTTAATACCAAATTAATGAAGGCCAAAATGAACGAACAATAAGATTGAGAAAATAAAGAGAGATGAAATAGAAGTAGGAGAAAATATTAATTTATTTCATTACGAAAGTATTCTTACAAATGAAATTCTGTTACATTTATAGGGAAAGAAGTTAAAGTAATAAACCAATATCTTATCAGAGTATTATACTAATTTAATCTAAACAAACTTAACTTGATCAAATTCTACTTTAAAATCATATCTAAATCCTAACCGATAAACTACTTTAATCTAGATAAACTCATGCTCTATCTTCTTGTCTTTCCTTGAGTAGACTCTTAGTTGTTTCCCGTCGGTAATATTCAAAGGAGATTTTCTGCTAAACATTTCATGAGATATAAGTGCAGACTAGTTAGTTTTAGAACATAATATTCTTTAAAAGGTTTGGTCTCTCTGCCTTGCATGGTCGCTATCACTGTCACCTTGAGTTGTATGAATTACTGTGAACTCTGGGAATGCTTAAGATTTTCACTTGTGGAAGGAAGTCCATATTACATCGTACTGTATTATTATCAGGTCATTATTGCTACTTGTCTCATATAGTGTGCTATTCTGTGAATGATGAAATTATTAGCTGCATTTAGGATGATTTCCTGTTAAGTCTGCATTTATTTACTATTATCTATTCTTGAGTTGGTCCAGTGGTGTGAAGTGCAATGATAGAGTTTGTTATTGCATCAGTGATTATTCTCTCTTGTTATTGTAATCGTCTGAGGATCTTCCTTATACAAATTGCCTAAAATTTTTGGAGTAAATCTCATGAAAGAACTGCTGATTTCAGTTCCAAGGAACTTCAGATTATTAGAAGAGCTCGAGAGAGGCGAGAAAGGAATAGGTGATGGAACAGTCAGCTATGGAATGGATGATGCCGATGATGTGTACATGCAGTCGTGGACTGGAACTATCATTGGCCCTCCTAATGTTAGTACTCTTCCTTCTAATGGATGCAATTTGGACTTCTATATTAAATGATCTTCTTTAAACATCCAATGCCATTTCTCATGGTTTTCAAGGTATTATGAATTGTGGATGCAATTAAAAGATAATATGAGAAGAAGTCAGTTGTTAATTTGAGGGACGATTGATCATATAAATGAATGATCACCAAAGGATTATAGTGTGTAATATCAACATCACATGTCAAAATTACTGAATATTGTAACCTTTTTTTATTTATTTCTATGTAGTAGATAAGGTATATGTAATGAAGATAATTTTCCTAGAATGTAGACCAAGGCAAATCTGATCAAATAATTTTGGAAGACCATTTGAAGATTTTTGTTTTTCAATTGGAATTATTTTTCATTTAGGGTGTATTTGATTGCAAGCATGAAATTTACACTGAAAGAAAATAAATTCTAGGCAATTGAATTGTCTAAAAATTATTTGCATGAAAATTGTTAATTAGATATGTTTGACTGATTTTATTTTCAATTTAGAAAATGTTATATTTGTCTATTTTTTTATTGGTAGGTATCTTGGGATAGAGGGGGAGTAGATAAGATAGAAAGATAAAGTGAGTTACTAGGAAAATAAAAACTTACTCCCCTTAAAGAAATTCTTATTTTTAAGGAAAATATGATCACGTGACCAAAAGTAAGAAAATATTTTCCATAGAATAAAATATCAATCAAATAGCACAAAAGTAAGAATTTGGATGGAAAAATGATATTTTCTATTGAAAATATTGGCAATCAAATGCACTCTTAGATATATTCTACTTGGATTGGCTTTATCCATAGGAAATGAAATGGTTTAAATGTCATTTGCTTGAGTGGACATTGATACTTTGGCCTTTAAAAAATTCAGTGGACATACATCTAATGTTTCACGTTCTCTCTCTTCTCCTCTCCTCTCCTACTCCCTCCCGTAATATATGTTCTATCTCAGCACTTATGATTTGACCAAAACTCCTCGAAGATGTTCTGAAGTTTACTGTGATTATACTTGCACCAGGGCTGGCATGGCATTGGCTATTTTCTGTGATTTGTAACTTTGGTTAATATAACATCATCAAACGATGAGAGCTTTTTCTTTCTCTGACTAGAAAAGCTGTTTTTCAGACTGCACACGAAGGACGCATCTACCAATTGAAGTTATTTTGCGGGAAAGAATATCCAGAAAAGCCACCTAGTGTGAAGTTCCAGACCCGGATCAACATGAGCTGTGTCAATGAAGAAAGTGGGGTGGTATGGACTACTTAAAAGTCTTACTCTCCAATAATATGCTTAACCACAATCTCATGATAAATAAAACATACCAGGTCGAACCAAGTCTTTTCCCTATGCTTGCCGACTGGCGAAGGGAGTACACCATGGAGGATATATTAATGCAGTTGAAGAAAGAGATGATATCTCCACAAAATCGAAAATTAGCTCAGCCTCCAGGTCTGTCCTATTTAAGTTCATCCTTGAGTTTGATATGGTGTTTTGGATTTAGTTATGTTTTATTACATTTAGGCCCCTATTTGATAACCATTATTTGTCAAAAACAATGCTTTGTATTGTGATTTTTAGGAGGATGTGTAGTTAAAAATTGGGAAAATAAACCCTGAGGGGTAGTTCAGTGGTCAAATTTTAGATTTACTTCCAATAGTCACCGGTTCGAGTCCCATCAGGGCTACTGAAGTAAGTATCCGACTGTAAATTTCAAGGCCCCAAATTGACCCTAACACCTACGGTCATTAAAAAAAAAAAAAAAAAAAAAAAAGAATATTTTATTGTGTGAATGTGTTGCTGAAAATAAGTGTAGAAAAAAAGTTCTCAAATAATGGTTGTCTAGTAGGGGCTTAGGTTTGTATGTTCGCAAACACACTTGTGCATCTGCACGTGCACGCGCATGCAACCCAATCAGTAACCATACTGCATTAACTAATGTGGCATTGTTCTTTCTAGGCAATGAAGAGGGTAGAATGGATCAAAAAGGAATAGTACTGAAATGTTGTATTCTGTAATTTAGATTAAAATTGAACACAATACTGTAGATATATCCAAGTATGTACAATTCTTGGTATTGCGTTGGTTTCAACGTTTAAGATGAGTTTGTAACTCAGTGAGATGTATACATTGAATAATTATGGCGAAATTAGTAGTCTTGGGATATGATATCGAATGAATGTCAAACGTTACAGAATGAGTTGTTGTATTGATACAAGATCCTAAATCAACTTTTTGAGTTGGGACTGTTGGATTTTTGCAAAATGAGTAGCGAATTAGTTTTGCTCGGTCACAAAGGAGGGGCTTCTTTGTGTCACATGTCCTCCCGTTTAACGACGTAGGGTGTCGAACTGTCGATATAAATCGCAAATGTACGATGTTCAATAAACTAATAAAGTAGATCTAGGTGGTTTGCATTATTGTCCCACGAAGATTATTTATCCCGTGTTTTGACAACCAGCTTGAACATCGAATTGGAAAAGCTATAGAGTCAGCTCAAATGGTTCAATCCAGTAGAACCCAGGCTGAACTGATATTAATATTAAAAAAAAAGAATATATATAATTAATATGTACATCATAAATTTAAAATGTTATCCAAAATAAAAATAGAATTTTCACTTTTTAAATCTGCCCTATTCACCTGCTTATTCTCTCTAGATTTTTTGGCTCAATTATTGTCTTTCCAATATATTCACATACTCCAGTGTAATTAACTTACTCTCTGCGAAAAAGAGAGACGCATCACTCGTGTTTATCTTCATCAGATCAATTGAAAGCAAATATAACAAAATAGATAACAGAGAATTAAAGAAGCTGATATTAGAGAATAATCAAAATGTCTTATTGAAGTATTTAAATTGTCACATCAGATTGTTCTATTTTATAAACTTGAAAGCATGACAAACTCTCCTAAAATAAACACCAACTACTTGCATAAAATTCTACCAACAAATAATACAATGTTGAATTAGAGCATTTTCAAGAGACTCTGTATCTATAAAAAAATATCTCATGCATAATGTATATCATCTTTAAATTTAGAGGACAAATTTTTTTATGCACTTCAACAATACTCTTTATTTCGGTTTTATTTTATTTTATTTTTTTCAACGAATATTTATTGATTTCTTCTCATCTCTTGTTTAACATAATTTTTTTAATATGTTAATGGGTAATTAATTCAAATGTAATTTGAATATTTTAAATTGTAGAGTTGAAATTTGTAACTTATTAAATGGAATCATCGTTAATTAAAAATTGATAATCTCTTTGAACTTATTTTAAGCATTGACTTTGGAAAATAAAGAGTATTTTATATTTAGAAATTTTTTTGGAGGTGCTCTTATTTGACATCCTGTGGTGTGAACCCACATAGTAATAGTAGTTTCAAAATCCATACAAGATTGAATCGACCCAAGAAAGCTAAAAAATCAAAGTTTAGAATTCAGCCCAAAAATACTGAACCAAAGAACCAACATAATCGTCAACAATATGTTGACCCCCCGATTACAAGATTCAAGAATCTCACCCGGATTGTGTGGAACGCAACAAAAAATAATTTTTGATAAGTTCGTAAAATTAGTTCAATGAAGAATAGTGAATTGAAAGCAAGAATTGCTCACAAAATAATCTCTCTCAATGAATGAATGAATGAAAGTTCTTTACAATGTAAATAATGAGTTTTATTTATAGAGAACTCATGTAAACCCTAGTCAAATTGGAATTAAGTACTAAACATACCAAAAGTTACTATAAATCAAAGTTCTTGCATAAAGAAAAGATTTCACGAAATTGGAAAATTCGCACCTCAAAAACACACTATGCGACCGACCTCAAGCACATAAAGCATTTGATATCTCGACTATTAGATGGTTGTGATTCTGCTTTGGATGTGACATTGCTAGTACTTTCCTCTTCTCCCTTTAGTAGCTCAGTTCTGCCCTTTGGAATAGCTCTATCTCTCATGTTGTTATCCCACTTTGGTTTCCTAGAAGACTTAGAACTCGATGGATATCTAGTTGCTCATTCTTCTTCAATTGTTTCTCCACCTTCATAACCACATGTAGCATGACCTCCAACTCTACATAATATTGCAATTCCACCATATTAGATATTTCCCTATTCAAACTATTTTAAAATCGAGCCATAATAGCCTCCCTATCCTCTTCAACATTCGCCCTAATCATGATTAGCTTCACTTCCTTATGATAGTCCTCTACACTTCTAGAACCTTGGTAGAGGCTTTGCAATTTTTTATGAAACTTCATATAGTAGTGATTAAGAACGAACCTCTTCCTCATGTTGACTTTCAATTCTTCCCATGTATTAATAGGCCTCTTACGATTCTTCCTCCTAGTTGTCACCACTTGTCCATCCAAATAATAGCATAATCGATGAACTCATGTACTGCAATTTTTACATTCTTTTCCTTCAAGTAGTTGTAGCAATCAAATATCAATTATATTTTCTTGTCCCATTCCAAGTATGCTTTTGGATCACTCTTTCCTTTGAATGAAAGAATTGTTATTTTGATGTTACCCATACTTTCGTTAACTCATCTCCACCCCTCATTTCATGCCTTACTCCTCTATCCCTCAGTCTTCCTGTCTCGGCATCTACTAATGTTCCTTCATCAATATTACTACGAGCATCACATTCTACACGATTTTCTACCATAGGCTCCCTCGCCTACTTGTCTCGTTGTATTGGGAACTCTCCTAAATAAATTGGCTAGTAATGGGTCTTACTTTTCCATCTAAAGCCAAAGGATGGGGCCGAGAATCTGTGATCGATCTGAATAACCACTGCCAGATACGATCCATTGGACCACCCACTCCCCTTCCTTGGTTCTTGGTATATTGGTTCCCGATCGTTCGCCAATCCCATCTACTGAAAATGGGACCGGGCCTAGCATGATTTCCGATATTGGGGATATTGATTAATTGCCTGAGAGGAGAAGATCATCTACAATGACATTTGAGGAAGCCTCCGACCTATCTAACCTGTTCACATCTTCAAACAAACTCTCGAACCGTCATATCAACTCCTCCTACATGTTGACTTGGTTGTTGTTTCTGCTTAAGGTAGAATCGTCCTTGTCAGACATCCTACATCTATGGTGGTATGTGCCCCACTTGTATACGCTTGTGTATCACTCAAATTGGCTTCCGCTCAATGCCTTCATCCAAGTGTTTCAAAGAACTAATTTGATTTCAACCAAATTTTATTCTCGAAGGATTTAAACAAAGATGTGAGTGAGAAATTGTATCTTAGAAGAAAGTGGTTCTTGAATTTTATTTTTTTTAATTGAACACTCTTTTTTTTTTTTTGGGCTATTCCAGCAATAATTTTTTCATTTATTGATTTTCAAACTTTTTTTTTTGTTTTTTTGTTTTTTGGCTAAACGAGAGGAAATTTACAAGGAGCCCAAAAATTTCGACAAAAGTTGATTAGGACACTAATTTAGTGCACTATCAACTTTTAAACTTGTTTGGAACCTTTGTTGGATTGAAAGATTCAAAAAGGTAAAGAATGCTAAAAACACGAAGAACGATGAGGAAATAAAGTAAAAGACTCAAATAAAAGAAAATTGAGATAATCTCGATTTGTAGAGCCTAAACTTTGATACCAACTGATGTGAACCCATGTAACAATAACAGCTCCAAAACCTACACAAGATTGAATCGGCCCAAGAAAGCTAAGAAATCAAAGTTTAAACTTCAACCCAAAAATAATGAACCAAAGATTCAACACAATCGCCGATAATAAGTTGCCCCTTGATCACAGATTCATGAATCTCACACAGATTATTTGGAAAGCCATGAAAAATAATTCTTAATAAGTTCGTAAAATTAGTACAAGGAAGAACAATGAATTGAAAGCAATAATTACTCACAAAATAATTTCTCTCAATGAATGAACGAATGAAAGTTATTTGAAAGGCCAAGATCGATGTTTCGTCCATTGTAGCTTGAACAAATAATCTCATTGCTTCTTTAACTCTCTTTGCTTGCGACCTAGTCATCGACCATTTTCAACAATAAACGAATCCTTTCCTGAAGTTGCTTTCGTTGCATTCGTTCCATGGATCACATCACCTTGTTGCTAACTTATTCTATCCCAGAATAATTAGAACAAAAAGCAAAATAAATAACAAGAAATTAGCAGTCAACAAATAGTAGGACAAACTAATTTGTTAGACTCTCTCTTAGTGCATGATTATGATCGATAACTCCAAGAACAATTCTAAAACTTTCAAATTTTGGGTTTGTTAGGGCCTTTGTAAATATATCAATAATCTAATCAGTAGTGTGGTGACTCGAGTTCTTAAGTTTGAGTACCACTAAAATCGTATTTTAAACATCATATTGTACTTTCAAAAGCTTGAAATTTATTTAAATAATATCATGAAATTGTAATAGTGAATACACAAAATTTTGATATCAATATAAAAGAAAATATTAGAAGTTTAGCAATCTTAATATCTAACCAATAATTAAATAAGTTCCTAAATAAATAAAAGTGAACCTGGTGGGTTTCTTTCACTTGCCAATTCGCCAACCCTCTCATGCCTTAAT